GCAGGGTCCAATATACAACTAGTAATTGGGTCTGTGACTTGAAATCTAAGGCTACAGGAGGATGAGAGCAGCCGCAGGGAGGGAGGGGGAAATTGGCTATAAAACTCTGTTGTAGTCATGGGGAGAGTTGACCGTAGCCAGCCCGGTGAGGACCTTCCTGTTTGCAGAACATAAATACTTGAGGAAGGCGGTTAAATTTACCAGAATATGGGATGAGCCAAAACACTAGAACAAAGGTCAATTTTACTGATTTAATTTCGCAGGGTGTTTGAAGCCTTTGCTGGGAACAGTGTGCTAAGGCTCATTATTTACTTTTGTCTGGATTGAGGGACTCGAGAAGAAAATCTAATTTCTCTTTGCCCAATTTGGGAATCATTGAGAGATAGAAACAGAATCCAGGCAAAGAAAAATGTTAATTTGATGACCAATGACACTGACATTGAAGGGATAGCATGGACTCTTGAGCCTCAGGGATGCCAACATCATGGCGCTGTTCTGTGAACTGGGTTCAGTTGTGTGTGCAAATGGACACAAAAGTAGCGTCAGGCACCCTAAAAGCGCCCATTTAATGTTGACTATGATACGTATTTTAGCCAAATATATCATGCTACTATGTGGTACCCTCGCAGAGGCCAATTTACTATCTAAATTTAGCATTACTCCGTGCCACAGGACTCCCTGGCAGGACCTGATCTTGTCGTGGGGGAGCTAGAAGGCATGGCCTAATGTACCAGCCAGCTAAACCAGGGGCTGTGTTCTCCAGCACGCACACACCGGTGTGAAAAGGAGACTGTCAACAAGAGATTTACTTAGTGTGATGTTGCCTAAGAAAATGGCTTTGGAGAGAGAAAAGGACCGTAATCAAAGCATGAGCTGAAACGGGTGCTTCACTGTTTCTCGGACAGTTGTCACTGAGGATATACCTGTTGGGTCCATTTCCCCTGATTGGAATTGACACAGAAGACTTCCCTGCCGAGATTCGAACCTGTGTTTACTTCCTGTTTCTCCTTCTCTTCATGCCTCTCCTTTTCAGACCATCACATGTGACAAAGCAAAGCATTTGGGGGACAGTAAGATCAATAAGAATTTTTTCCACGGGCTGGAGGGATGGCTCAGTGGTTAAGACCACCGACCGCTCTTCCAGAGGTCCTGAGTTCAGTTTCCAGCAACCACACACATTGTGGCTCACAACCACTTGTAATGAGATCTGGTACCCTCTTCTTGCCTGCAGGGACACATGCAGGCAAAATACTGTATACATGATAAATAAATAAATCTTTTTTTAAAAAAATAATTTTTTCCTCTCTCTCTCCATGGGCTACAGGAAGGATTTCTTTTCCAAAAGTGGCACCAAACAAATATTTAAAACAAACCAATCCTTGTTTAGTAGCTCACTATGGAGCTAGCTTCATGTTTCTAAATGTAGCTGTAGCAATGAGGTCTCTAAAAGTAGAGATAATAATAGCCATGCTCCTAAGTGCTATTTCCCCAGGCCTCAGTCAGGAGGCCTCTGGCATCTGCCTCACTTGTGGACTTGTGGACTTCTCTTATCTGTCTGAATCAAGGGAAATACAGTCCAAATCCCTTCTGATGCTCACAACCTATGATTCCACGATTCCAACTCAGGTGCCATGAATACCTGTCTTCCTGAATAGCCCAAGTTCTCCTCCCTGCCCTGTGTTCCACCTACAGCCAGACCAACTGATAGAGAAAGAAAAGCCCCAGTCTTCAGTTAGAGGTGATAAGACTAGGTTAAATTTCATTTGCTATATCAGCAAGTGCATTTGTATTCAAATGTAGTAGGTGATATTTTGGAGCATGCTGTTTCTACAACATCACATTTCTATCACTGGTGATTTAACTGCTGGTATATCTAATAAGCTAAATCTATCTTGCAGTGGAGAGGAGGGAAAAGGAACAGGGATGTGGGCCCACTGGCCCCCACTTACATTCACCCTACACTTGACATCCTTTCTATCTGCACCAGAGCTGAAACAAGCAATCAGTCAAGCCAATAATCCCAGATCATATTTTTCTTCCTTCCCCTATTTTGTAAACAGACTATTTATATGAAATTAAGACTTAAACACTTTCTGCATTAACTTCAAGGCTTAAAACAGTCTCTAACTTTCATGAACCAATTTTGACTTTATGATCTTTTTCCTCCCTCTTCCCACCATAGATCAAGTATAAAGGCAGAGATGGCACCAGCAGGAAGCCAGGAGACTAGTCGACGGTTCTCACGAAGGATGGGGCTGATGGGAAAGGAGCAGTGCTGCTCAGTGGGAGAGCACCTGACTGTCATGGGTCAGACTCTGAGTGTGACTTACAGAACTGTAGGAAAAGAAGTAAGACAAGGGGTGTGTCTTCAAGAGGCATGCAGAGAAGAGAAGATGGCTAACACGTCTCTGCTATGGGATGTCTTTTGGTATGCCGTGAATATGTGTTGCTCTGATTGGTTGATAAATAAAGCTGCATTGGCCTATGGCAAGGCAGCTTAGAAACAGACAGGAAATCCAAACAGATATACAGAGAGAGAAGAGCAGGGAGAGATGTGAGCCGCCACAGAAGGAGCAGTAAGATGCCAGCAGACCGGTAATGCCACAGCCACGTGGCAACTTATAGATTAATAGAAATGGGTTAAGTTATAAGAGCTAGCTAGCAAGAAGTCTGCCATAGGCCATACAATTTGTAGTTAATATTAAGCCTCTGAATGATTATTTTATAAGCGGCTGGGGGACCATAGGGCTGGGTAGGACCTAAAAAACATTCCGGCTACATGTCTCCTTATGGTCATTGATGTTCTGGAAACAGCCAAGGCAGGAACAAGTCAGATCTCTTTTCTCAGCCAGCCTAAGAGGACAGCCATCCATTGTAAATACCTTCCCTAAAGAAACAAGAAAATGAGAAAAGGACTTTAGAAAACCATTTACTAATCCTGATGGAGGAGTTGAAAGACCCTGACTCAACAGTTATCATTGTTTTCTTGTCTAAAGAGCAAGTTGTTTTATTTATTTTTGTGTCTGTGAATGTGATCATGTATGTACACACATGTGTGGATGAGTGTAAGTCCAGAGGGTGGCCTCAATTGAAGTTTTTTTTCCCTCAATTGCTCTCCATCTTATTTTAAAATTTATATTTATTATATTTTTGTGTGTGTGGTGCACACACACAAAAATATAAGTGTGGACAGGTGCCACAGTGTGAGTGTGGAACCCAGAGGACAACTTTTGAGAGTTAATTCTCTCCTATTGTGGAATGTAGGGATTGAACTCATGACATCAGGATCAATGGCAAACTCTCTTTCTTACTAAGTCATCTTACCATCCCCCACCTTATTTTTTGACACAGGGTCTCCCAAGGAAGGCAGATTTCACCAATTTGGCTAGACTGGCTACCAGGCGAGCCGCAGAGGGACCTTGTCTCTGCCTCCCCAGTGCCGGGATTACCGGCTGGCACACTCAGTGTTTTGTGCAGATGCTGGAGATCAAACTCACAAGCTTGAACAACGAACACTTAACTGACTGAGACATCTCTGTAGCCTGAAGTTTTTTACTTTAAAAATAAAATGAAAATCCTACTTTTAAGAACTTGATATGTGAGCTGCCAGGACTTGGGAGGCAGAGGCAGATGGATCTCTGTGAGTTCAAGGCCAGCCTGGTCTACAGAGTGAGTTCCAGGCCAGCCAGAGCTACACAGAGAAACTCTGTCTTGAAAAAAACAAAACAAAACAAGCAAATAGGACTTAGTATATGGGGGAAAATGAAAAAAAAGGGGGGTAGCTTTAATTGTGGAAGAAAAGGGGAAAATTTGCAAAAGGAAAGGGAGGGAAGAGAGAAAAATAATACTGTTTGTCTGAAAAGGCAGACATAAGGAATTATATTATTTTTATTTGTCTAAAATTACATATAACACATACCAGTGTGTGTGTGTGTGTGTGTGTGTGTGTGTGTGTGTGTATACATGTACAGTTTAAATGAAGTTATCCCACTTAGATTGACAATGCTCCCCTCCAAGAACCATAGACTATCTAACAGAAACCCCAGTAACAGGCATGAGACACCCCCTTTCAAGTTGTAGGTCAGGGTTGTCCAGGAGACTCCCAGAACAACATAGGCTACTGCTGCTGCCCTTGGTTTTCTGCCAGAGATTGAAAGTAAACCCCCGTTGATGAAGGCACCATGCACTTTAGCACAGGACTCAGGATTCTACCTGGATCCAGCCTAAAAGCTTCTTCCCTGAGAACCAGCTTTCATATTACCAGACGGTTCTGTGCAAGATGCTGATGAAGGGAGGCAGCCAATAGTCCTACCCAGCTGTATCACCTATGACCCACAACGATAGCTAGCATGGCGAGATACTCTAAGGGTGTAATAGTGACGCTCATATCTTGATGGCAATCAACAATTGTCTAATTGGACTTAAGGCTCACTCAACAGGAGAGAAAATCATGCCTGGTACTAAGAATCTAGCCAGCTACCTGGGACAAGTGTAGTTGTTGGTTTTTTGTTTTCGTTTTGTTTTGTTTTTTTTCTTTTGGGAGCCCACCACCCAGCTCCCAAATAAATACACGGAAACTTACTCTTGCTTATAAATGCCCAGCCTTAGGTTGGCTTGTTTCTAGCCAGCTTTTCTTAATTCAAATTATCCCATCTACCTCTTGCCTCTGGGCTTTTACATTTCTCTGTTCTATATACCTTTCTTTACTTCTTACTGTGCGGCTGGCAGTGTAACTGGGTGGCTGGCCCCTGATGTCCACCTCTCCTCTTTCTTGCTCCTTTCTTCTCTCGATATATGTTCTCTCTGACTGGAAGCTCCTCCTATCCTTTCTCCTGCCTAGCTATTGGCCGTTCAGCTCTTTATTAGACCAATCAGGTGTTTTAGGCAGACAAAGTAACACAGCTTCACAGAGTTAAACAAATGAAACATAAAATAATGCAACACAGGAAAAAGGCTTTGCATGTACAGAGAAGCTCCTTTGAGGTACCGAGGCACTAACAATGGACACCCAGAAAGATGTTCAACCCTCAAAGCAGCAGCCAATGATATATATTTGTGGGGAGTGTCGCACTGAAAATGAAATAAAGTCCAGGAATCCAGTCAGATGCAGAGAATGTGGATACAGAATACTGTGCAAGAAAAGGACTAAAATATTGGTAGTTTTTGATGCTCAATGCAAAGTGGGAATTCAAGAGTGTCTTCATTCATACTTTTGCCCCATTGATGTTTTTCTCTCTCTTTTTTAAAAATTTTTATTTATTTATCATAGTACAATGTTCTGTCTGCATGTACAACTGCATGCCAGAAGAGGGCACCAGATCTCATTACAGATGGTTGTGAGCCACCATGCAGTTGCTGGGAATTGAACTCAGGACCTCTGGAAGAGCAGCCAGTGCTCATAACCTCTGAGCTATCTCTCCAGCTCCTGATGTTTCTCTTTATAGCTTTTGAGTTAACTTACTTATGAGTACAACTGTATACCTATGGTTTCATTTTAGAAATGTGATTGTATTTTAATACTTTGTATAAAGGAAATGTTGGTTTAACATATAACTTTTAATTTATTGCGACTGTAACCTCTCACACAATGAAGATGAAAATTGTTTCCCCAAACCACACTTTTATTCAGTCTTGTTAAAAAGTCAAGTTTCAGGCCATCAAGCCTGAGGTGCTCACCACCTCAAGAGGTGACCTGAGTTCAGGCCCTGGAACCCACATGATGTAAAGAGAACTAACTTCTGGAGCTTGTCTATCCTCTGACCTCCACATGCACACCAAGACTTGAGCATGTGTGTATGTGCCTACACAGATAGAAAATAAATAAAATACATTTAAAAATTAAAAAAAGAATGCAACACATCTTTGCACCATTAAACAAATGCTCCACAGCATAAATGAATTCAACACATCTTCAGCTAATATTCCACAACAGACTAGTGAGTTCGTGTACCTTAGAAGAGAACTTACTACCAATACTAAACCCACATAATTCCTAGGTGCATTCTAAATACTTATTCTTATACTCACAGATAAGTGTAGCGCTCTCTCTCTCTCTCTCTCTCTCTCTCTCTCTCTCTCTCTCTCTCTCTCTCTCTC